TGTACATCACTGGATAAATCTGGACAAAATATTAACAAGGAAACAGCAATCCTTAATGACTCACTAAATCAGATGGAACTAGTTGACATCTTCAGAACATTTTACCCAAAACTACAGAATACACATTCTTCTCAAGTGCACATGGACATTTTCAAAGATAGACCACATATTAGGGCACAGGCTAAGTATCTACAAATTCAAGAAGAATGAAATTATAACAAGCATCTTCTCAGATCACAATGGCATAAAATTAGAAATCAACTACAATAAAAACAATTAACAAGTATCAAACACATGGAGGGTAAATAGCATGCTATTAAACAATGAATGAGTTACCAAAGAGATCAACGAAGAAATAAAAAACATTCTGGAAACAAATGATAATGAAAACACAGCAATCCAAAATCTATGGGGACATATTGAAAGGAGTCCTGAGAGGGAAGTTCATAGCTCTACAGGCCTACCTCAAAAAGAAAACAACAACAGAAAAACTGGTAATAAGGTATCTAACTCAAAACTTAAACAACTAGAAAACAGCAACAAGAAAAACCCAGTGTAGCCCTGACTGGTTTGGCTCAGTGGATAGAGCGTCAGTCTGCGGACTGAAAGGTCCCAGGTTCGATTCCAGTCAAGGGCATGTACCTTGGTTGCGGGCACATCCCCAGTAGGGGGTGTGCAAGAGGCAGCTGATCGATGTTTCTCTCTCATCGGTGTTTCTAACTCTCTATCCCTCTCCCTTCCTTTCTGTAAAAAATCAATAAAATATATTTAAAAATAAAAAAAGAAAAACCCAGTGTAAGTAGAAGGGAGATATAATAATGATCAGAGCGGAAATAACAGAGACAAAAAAAAAAATCAATAGAACCAAAAGCTGGTTCGTTGAAAGGATAAACAAGATTGATGAACTGTTAGCCAGGCGCACCAAGAAACTAAGAGAGGACCCAAATAAACAAAATCAGAAATAAAAGATGTGAGGAAACCAAGATGGCGGCATAGGTTAATGCCGGAGTTTGCAGCCTCGAACAACCACTTCAAAAGTACAAGTAAAAGACAGAACGGACATCATCCAGAACCACAGGAAGGCTGGCTGAGTGAACGTTCTACAACTAGGAGGAAAGAGAATAGTATACCGAGACTCAGAGGAGGCGCAGTGCTGAAGTAAAATACTAAGGTGCGGAGTACATGTCGAGAGGGCTGGCGGCTGAGGGCATGGTTGTCTGTTTCAATCGAGAGGGAGTCACAGACTCTGAGCTCCAGATCCGGGCGAGTCTATAGGGACCCAGACTCAAACGGGAGAAGCGGGACTGTCTGGCTTTGGTCAGAGCTCGAAGGAAGCTTTCTCTCCGAGGTTTGCAGCGGTTG